TATATCTCATGATATTGACATGTACACAGGCAAATTAGTAGACTCCAACATTAGACCAAAATTGAAACGTACAAAGTGAAACGTCAGTGACATCTCAACTGATGCTTTGCGTTACCCTTACCCTGTTTCTTATATGTAGGTCCAGGACTGGGTACGAAAAGAGTATCAGGCAATAATGTCAAAATGTTATTTCCATGGTGTAAAGTACTACGATCATGAGTTATTCTATTAACAATTTTTGAAAAGGCATTGGAACAGAGGGCACGTATCAAATAGAAAGTGTCAAAGAGTTTTTACTGGGAAATCATTCAAAACAGAAATGGATTGAAGATGAAAGGTTTATCCTCCAAAAAAAAAGAAGAAGCTTATCAGAGGGGGGCTACTAGAATGCAAGTACCAAATATTCCAAATCTATATTGTGCTGGAAATGTTAACAGGAAATTACTTTTTAATCACCCATCTACATTCGGAACGAAAACTATAGCTATAAATTACAACTATGCAAATCGGAGGGCAATATTGGAAATGTTAGAAAAATCGGTAAAGACTACTGGAGGTCTTACTTCTTAAAATAATTTAAAATTGTCTCTCGCGCTTGACGTCACGACCACCCTCATTTTGGCCCCACAGGAGGAGGAGACCTAGGCTGTACATAGTAAGATAACTTCTCAATGGAGACCATGCAGGTGGACATTAATTTTGCTACCTCAGAATTGCCCAGTTTAGTTTTATCTGACATTTTTAGCCGTTTTGAGTTACAAAGACCATGAAGTCAAAAAGCACTTAACGTTCTATCCGCTAAATCAAAATAGTGAGAATATTCTGAGTTCTTACCAAAATGTTCAACAAAATTGCATTCGACAATGCTTGACATAATTATCATGAAACTAAACCATTCTGACGCCAAATTTCTCAAAACTAGGTGCTAAGCAGATAGAACTATGTAATTCTGAGGTAGCAAGTTTATCAAAATAGTTTGTATTGTTAGTGCTGAAAAAGGAATGCTAATGCTTTTAAAAAACGAAATTACAAAATGTGAAATAACAAATATTGTTCCTTTTGGATTGATTTGATTCAAGGAGCTTCAAAGCAACAAGGAAGTACTAAGAATTCGCAAGGCGATATATGATTCATCGGAAGCACTTTTAAGTGAACAAACTACAAATCGTGTTTTGACCGTCCTATAAATAATAAACGATTATGTCCACCCTATAAAATCTCAGCCCGCCAGAGATGGAAATTTATTTGTTTTTTAAGCGTCAGTCCCAGGTGTTTTCGAGCTCTGTTGATAATGATATAACATGACAGCTCTCAATAAAACTTCACCATTCAGACAGCTGGGATTTTGCCAAGAATGAGGTCAAGAGGGGATACGTTATCGATATACTTGTTTTTCAAATTAAATGTAGATCTAGTGTAAAGCAAGAGTTTGTGTTTATGATTTGAGATAAACTGACCAGCTGTTCAGAAAAGTGCACTGGTATTCAATATTACTATTGAAACATCTGTTTTCCTCGCCCCCGTGATGGAGAACCACAAAAATAAAATTACAAAATAACAATAAAATAAATACAAATCCGCCTTGAGTGCTTTTGTGTGTAGAATATCATATACTATTTTAATGAATGAGCTTAATCAACAAAAATACTGATATCTGTATTTTTATTATAAAGAATTGAATAGCCTACCTTTCTGAGGGAAGAATGATGGGTGGAGGTAGGATGGACAGAAGGAGGATGAACGGATTAACGTATCGGCAAAAGGCGAGTGCCCTCACGTTTGTAAGTTACAACATGAATGAAAGTATGAGAAGAAAGATGTTGAAAGATTGTAATGGTTTGGATGAGCTAAGTGTTTTCGCTCCTGTTTGTTTATACAGAGCTAATGCCCATACATTCTTTGTCTGCAGGCACCTAACCACAGTTAAAACAAAGAACCTTACTCCCCCCCCCCCCATTTCCCTTCCTTCTCCTTACCCTCCCTGGCATTTTCTCTGTACATCCATTCCTCTCCGTCTGATTTTTTTTCTTTACCTTTCCGGAGTCAGATTCCCTGATTTTCTCCTTATAAAGTGGAGGCAATGTTTACTCACGTCAAAGCGCATTTCAGGAGGCACGCGAGTCTTCCCGCATCGATTCCGGTGTCACCAACAAAATTCCGAGAAGGATCGCTCGGGTTACTTGAACTGAGAGTGAGGATTTTCGAAAAAGGGCAATTACCCGGACCCAACTAATCAATTCTTTGTGATGTTGTATTCGCGCACACGCCTGGCTGGCTCAGTGGGAAGCGAGATCCATGCCTTATCGGGGCGCTGATCTAAGCCTTTAATTTTCTTTGGACAAACGTGTCTGCCAATAGGTCATGGACTTTTCCTTTCTGATATCGATACCTTATTTCTTTTTTAAATGCACAGGCCACAGAAAGCTGTTCTGTTGTGATATTGGGTATATCAGTAAAAAATGGGAGATAAAACTAGAGCTCGAAGTCCAAGAGATAGGTTATCTTTTCACCTTTTTGAGGCTAAACTCCAGATCTATTTTTATTGTTATTTTCATATTATTTGTATTTTAAGGTAGTTTGTCTTAACTTACTGTTTGTGCGAATTAAGGGGAAGATTTTAGGTCATGCACTACTGGACGATTTTTATTTAACGTTCCAGTGTGTTGTCATTTAACTTAACTGGTAGAAGCAGTGTAGTATATTAAAAGTACCAATCTTTGTTATTTGTAACGTGACACGTAGAAGCAGTAAACTATTTCGTACATTTGCCTGTAGGAAGCCTTGAAAGGGAAGTTTAATGTACGTAAATCACGATACATGAGTTGTGGCGATTTCGGGGTCACATTTGGGTTTGCATAAAAGGCGCTGTCAAGAATGAGACACAAAAAAAGAGGGGAAAAGGGGGGGGGGGGGTGAAATTCCCTTTTACCCTTCTATGTTTAGTGAAGAAGATTTTGATGTTACGTGTATAAATTTGCAGAGACTGGTGAACGGTTCATATATATGATTGTGCTCTACGTTTCATTGTGCTCTACGTTTCCAATTTGGAGTTTGGGCCTCTTCCTTGCTCGAGCTCCTTTAAACAACTGAATGAGTGATGTGTCGTTTTACACCACGAGTGGTCCCCAAGCGTCGTTCTCAGTTCATGCATTCTTGAAACATAACACCACCCCCTCTCAAAGTGACTATGCTTGGTTGTTTGTTTGAGTAAAGAAAAGCACGTCGACTCGAAAGCGAGTGCTGGGAAAAGTAAGACAGTGACAGAGAAACCACTAAGGTACAGATAAGAAGTAGGATAATATACCGGTAGCGCCCTCCAGCCACCCGCGTGTCGCCATAATTTTGTTGTGTCCAACAAAGCTAAGAAAATGAAAATAGATAAAATCTAGAAAACAATAAATTATACATTCTTTCATCTTTCTCTCCCCGCACTCCCTCTCCTTTTACACGTTGACAACCAGAGACAGACACTGCATTCGAAATTATTTTCAAGTTGCGATGCGCTGTCATAAAAATGTTACCGAATTACCAGTTTCAACATCACTTGGTCTGATTGAGGAAATGATGCTGAGATGTTTTCTCGAGCTCTCAGTCTTTATTACTTGACTCTGAAACTTTTGCTATGTAATCGTAGCGAAAATTTGCCCGCGGGCACCTCTGTTAGAGAAAGAGAGAGAGAGAGAGAGAGAGAGAGAGAGAGAGAGAGAGAGAGAGAGAGAGTGTGTGCACTTTTGAGTTTTTTAAAAGGAGAGATCGGGCATGTGCGATTTTCAAAAGTTTGTAGTTGTGATAGAAATACAAAGGACGCAAAGCAATTTATTAATGAAAGCAAATCAAAGATAAAAAGAAGATAATTTAGAATAACGAAAAGGAAGCCAAGACCACGCCCCTTACTTTTACGACATCAGTTTTAAGTCTCTTTTTGCCGAAAACAGAAACAGCATAATGTTGACAACTTGCCTGCCTTGCAGCCAGTCTGCTGTCACTGCAGCAATCAGCAATGTTTTTCTAATGTGAACTTCGTCAACAAAATACTGTTGTCTCAAGATGACTCTCAGTGTTATGGCTTTGTGCACACACTGAGGAGCTGATGTGGGGCTTGGGTGTTCAAGGAAATCTGACGAGATTCTCTCAGTACTGACAATACTTGACTTGGTAGTGATGCAATTACTGAATTCTAGTAACCTCATGTAGGCTTTTAAAACTAAATAAAATAGTAATTTTTATGGAAAGGACTTCCATAACGAGCGGCCACCCCAACAAACACATTAAAGAAGAGACCTAGATCTAGATCTAACCCTAAACCTAACCCAGACCCTGACTCTAATCCTAACCCTACTCCTGCCCCTAGCCAAGGAGCCTGCTAGTGCTAGGCCGCCCTTTTTCGGTAGTACCCACCCTGCAATTCTTATTCTCCGGTTTTGGCCCCAAGCGTAGGGGGTTTCAGGGGGGCTTGCCCCCCCCCCCCCGGACCTAATAATAATATGGTGGGGGGTTTCAGAGGGGCATGCCCCCCTGAATTTTACCATAATTTGATGTTTTGCAGTTGTTAGGTTTAATTTTGATATCTTAGCTCGCCGCTCATCAAACGTATAGAGATCTAGATCTAATCTAGACTCAAATAAGGGGGGTGGGAACTACCGAAAAAACACTGCCCGGTATTCTACTTTGTCTCATAGTGGTCGCTCGTTACGAAAGTCCACATGTGACTAAACGTAGAACGACGCATCTTCCTGATTGGCTGCTAATTTTAGGTAATGTGATGTCATCACTACCTGGGATACCCACAGACTGTTTTTATAAGGCCGTGGAGGTATCAAAGATCGTATACATGATACTGTAGAGAATCTTTGGAGGTACATGTTGGGTCAGTGGGTTGACGTGTATCCGTATCGATGTGTTTTGCACTGTAAAATTTCACCCATGCGGCTACTGCGGCACGTCAGCCATGCTCTGGTGATGGAAGATGGCTTAGATCGATGATGCTCAGAACCGTAAGAACGCTGATGCTTGAAATTGAAACACGGTAAATGCAAAGACAATAAAGTGAGCTAAAATTGGCATAAAGACGCCCGGAGATTATCCCCCCGGGCTTGATAAACAATGCGCAAAAGAGTTTAGCAGCAGCGTCATCGGAACTCTGCATCATATCACATGTACATTACCGTTTACCGTTGCGTCTTCCTGGAAAAACATCGCACCAAATGTCGTGCCATGGTAGGTATACACTCGATCTTTGGTGCCATGCGGTTGGCTATGTTTAGACCATGTAGTCACGTGATTGGAGGGGTATCCCGGTCTGACGTCATACAAGATGGCCGCCTTACCTAAAAATGGTTTGCATCGTTCTACGTTTAGTCGTATGTCGAAAGTCCTCCCTTTTAATTTTATATGTGCCTGGGCCTAATGTAACCCTTTTCTGGCCATTTGAAATTTATAATAGTAGAGGTCTAATACCAGAAGTACACAAGCCCAACAGACAGTATCCATAAAATCCCAACCCTCACAACCTGCTCTTCCTCTTAGTTTTAGTAAGAGTTTTATGATACTTGCAACACAATAAGATCATATAAGTGCCGAAGATTAGAGGTGTTATAGGAAGAGCCAGAGCTGTTCCCATTCGATTTAAAACTACTTCTTTTGCTATTCAACAATCAACAATGATTTTTGCGCTATTGGGGCGCTATTCGTAGATATTCCGAATGTGGCAGAACCATTTGAATGCCATGTTTTCAGTAGAAGTTTTGGGGTAGACTGGTGTCGGTGCACTGAGCTCCCCCTTGCCTGTTTATTTGAATTTTGAACGATAGCCTGCCTATAATGAATGTTTATGATGTAGTCCATCATCTCTGTGGCTTGTAATGAAGGTTTATGGGACACACATGCTATTGTCTTTTGAAAAAAACCCCAGCAACACTATCAGTAGCCACATTTGGAAGGTCTGTCAGGCTTTGCACATTGGGAGGGTGGATGTGGTGGGGATCAGTGAAATGAGAGATTATTAACCAATTATTAGTAGTACTCTGAACCATGCTAGCACAAGCTGTGGCCACAGTCCAGGATAAGGCAGAATGCATACTGAGCTGAGAATTGCTGGATGAATAATGTTGTGAATAGGCTATTGTAATAGTAATAGTGAATGCTGCTGATGGACTTTTATAGGCTCTAAGAGAAAAAATTCTCCCACAATTATATTTTGATTTGAACAGGATGAATAGTGAACTCAGGTTTTGAAACTTTGATAAAGTTTTATTTTTTTGAAGATGCACAACACAAGTTTCAACCAGACCTTTGTTCATTGCCACCTATGATTAATAAAGTACAGAAGTAAAGGAGAGAACAATTGCAGTCTAGTATGCAGGGCTGGGGCTGACTTTGTAAGCCCAGTGCAGTGTCAAGATACACACAGCATACTTCATGTTGAAAAGCATAGCTCTGTATTCTAATGGATAAATCAGCGTAAGTTACTTTTGTTGAGGTTATAGAGTGATAAATAAGTAATCTTTTAAGACCGTGCTCATTGACAAAACAATTTTGCCTGAATTCTTTTATATATCTAATTAACATTAAATTATAATCTTAAGCAACCATGGATTTCTACTTTCTAAGTCCATGTGTAAATTTAATTTTTTGTCTTTTTGCCTGTGTTGCTACCACAGTTGAACCAAGATGTGGGTGGTTGATGAGATCTCACACGTCATCCAAGAGATGCTGTTGGAGGGAAACCTTCACAATATCATTGTGTTCACCGTCATAACCAGCTCCTCTGTTCTTTCAGGTAAAGTAACCTCAGAAGGGATTAAAATTTGTGAATTGAATGACAGATGAGTCTTTTTTTTTTTTTCACCAGAAGCAAGGCAGATGAACATGCTTACTTGAACATAACTCTCTATATATTATAGAGTTATGATATGATCTTAAAGCCTGTTCATATGCCGAAAAATTGATGATTGCCTGATTCATTCTGTGGTCTCTCTCACACACACACACACATACGCACACACGCACACACACACACACACACATACACACACACTCACACACACACACACACTAATTAACTTTCAAGACGAGCATCTTGGATAGCCTAAACTGTTATATCTCTGCCAGTGGTGGGTGCTATCAAGCACATTTACACATTCATCTACAACCTGAGACATGGACGCCAGAATGCACTTCACCAACAGCCGCCCGCTTCAGCCATGCCTCGCCGCTTCAGCTCATCGACAGACTCCAGCTTTGGGGACAAAACCAGATTTTCAAAGATGCGACGCACTCAGTCCACAACTTCCTGGTCGGAAAGAAAGGTCCTGAAATCTGCTCAGTGGAATCGGGTGAGTTTTATTTGGTTACTGTAAAATGTGTTTAAAAAGAAAATTCTCCAAACTTCTTGTGGCAGGCTAGTAGTGAAAATGCTCTGCTGTAGACTCCTAAGGTTAAACAGAAGTCAGGTGAATTCATCCTTTTAGCTGAAGTTATTTTGCCTAGTGTTTATTTTGACTGTTCACTGTAAGACTTCATTATATATGTCACTTTTGAAAATGGCGTATGGCGGAGTCTTGTATTGAGTACTAGATTTTATCTTTGAAGCTATTTGTCCAATACTGAGATGCAGATTTTCTGGTAAAAGGAACCTCTGATCAGTTTTTCTGGTTTTGTGAGAGTTTGTTTCTTTTCTCCTCCTCTATTTCTTCTCAATATAAAAAATAAATTGTGCATTCTCTTATCTCTCCATGAAAAGGGACATTTTTTGGTTTATATTGATTCAGAAAGTAACCTTGTCTCTTGCACGCTTTCTTACAATGTAGGCACACATAACCGACTTGGAACTAAGACATGGAAATTGTTCTGGCTATAAATCGAAGGGAATGCATTATTATTTGATTTCTTATCTATCATTTTCCTGAGAGGCATGGTTGATGCGAAATAATGAAATATATATATTCGTCAACAGTGGTATCATACAAAATGATGATCTTTTTGAGGTTGTATCAGACGATACAGCTCATTTTTCTCTTTGTTTTTCTGTTGACATGTTTGTTTACTTAAATATAGGAACATACTTGTCTTTTTATAAAGTTGTTTTACGAGGGACTCGACTGTTTACAATGAAGTAACAAGTAACAGATTTAATTTGTTAATCTGTTCTTTTGCTCAGACATATGACTATTTCTTTTTTTCCCCTCAGGCTTCCAGACTTAAAAAACAACAGCAAGTGAATCCTAGATGCCTAAAGTAAGTGTTTTTAGATTGATCTGCTATTATCTTTTCCATTTCTCATTCCTGTTTGTTTGGTGATGTCTATCATCAATACAGTTATATGCACATGAGACTTGTCGATTTTTTTCTATTGTAGCGCGGGTGCTTGTTAGATAGTTTGGTCTGGTTTTCTCCTTCACTGACTTACAATGCTACCATTGTTTTGCATTGGTGTTGTAATGATGCCACCCCAAAAATGTTCATGGTGTGAATCATTATGTCCGCTATGTTAGTGTGAGTGCACCTTCTACATGTACAGTTGGATAAGTTTGCTCTGTAAAGCTTTGCTGGTGTAGAAGTTTTGGCGAATATTTTTTAGGAGGATGTTCATAAACCACTATCACTATGAAGGCAGTTTTCAAACAGTTAAATGACATTTGCTAACTTGTTTTAACACAAGTGTAGCTGATGAGTAAACTACAAGAGTTGTTTAACCTACCACTGATGTTAAAGTTTTTCTTAAGGAGACTTCATGATCAGACTGGGTTATCTGTTTGTCAGTTTTTAAATATTGGAGACTGATGAATTGAGATCTTGTCATGTGAATTATTTGTGAGGCATGCTGACAAAATGAGTTACTTCTCGCAATCCACAAATGGAGATTTTGGCCAAAAATCGACATTAGGGTCAAATTTGTAGATTTCTTATTGATGCCATATTCTTTAAGTATAACATGCCTTTCATTATTTCATTCGTATAAATTGTAAATACTTCATCTATAAGCCTGATGTATGTATTTCCATAGGGATTGAATCCGAAAACCGATCCTTTTGTCAGCATGCTTCACATTTACCTTCTTTTGAAATTGGGCTTAAATCTCAAATATTTGTCATCCCCTGTCAGGTGCGACGCGGCGGGCTGGGAGAGGTTCTGTGTGTTTGGCCTGTGTGGTCAGTGCTGTGAGGCAGAAGGCGGGTGTCACAAGGGTGGTCACTCTCAGAGACCCATGTCATACACGCCCTGGGTCCTGCAGAGCAGCAAGACGGCAATGATGGTGGATTTGAGGTAGGCCAAAATGTTTGAATTTTGTATCTGCAGTTTAAAGTATACATTTGTTTGAGCGTGTCTATGCCTTGAATCACTTTCTGCTTTACATTGGTGAACTGACTGACAGCATCTGCAATGGGACCTGTTGTAAGAAAGTTTGATACTGTTTGATAAATTTGCTCTCCTTTTTACTAAACTTCCTGATACAGTGTTGTAACCTTTTTTGAACCTGTTGCTTTTTATTTCCTCAGATTAATTGGTTTTATCATATCACAAAATGTGTCAACTTCCATTATTTCAGAGGTGTATAGATGAAGGAAGTTTATAGTCCACATATGAGTCATGTACCACATGTTTGAGAAGTGTCTTGCACATCTTCTGATCAATGTTAATGTTGTCCGCATAACAAATTAGCCAATGTCATTAGAATCAGGTTTAAGATTGATGGTATGTAAGTGGTAGGGCTTGTAGCTTGCAGTGAAAGTATTGATGGTGTTGGATCAAAAATGCAAATGCTGTTTCTATAACTTAAAGGCTTGGAGTGCAGTATTTTACCACCAGTATGATTAAGTTATTGCTATTGATAATAATAAAGGCTATTCTTTTAAACCCATGCTAAATTGTGCTTCTTGCAAAGTTAATCTTGTTTTATATCAGTTTCCTTGTTTCAATTCTAAACCTGATTCTGCTCACGGGTATGTATACTGCATAGTTCCTCAAACCTCAAGTATGACACATGAGTTATTTTTCTCACCCTTGCACCAACAGTAACATGTGTCTACGTGAAGTGCCGGAGCGCCTTGGGTATGAGAGTATGGATGCCACAACTTTGAACCTGTCTCACAATCTGCTGTCGGATCTGCCCGAGCATATGTCTGTGATGAGAAGCATTGTCAATGTCAGCCTCAAGCAGAATCTTTTTTCTTACATTCCGGTAAACTATTTGTCATTGTTGTTGTCCTCATTTGTGCTGTTCTGCAGTAAGCTGACAAAACACCTTTTTTTAATTCACAGCAATTTCAAGAAAAAATTTTTTTTGTCGGCATAACCGTTTAAAAATAGTGTTTTTCCGAAATTTGAATTCTAATTTATTAAAAAACTAGTCACAGTTTTACTTTGATTTTTTAACACAAGTAGGATGACTGATCAGGCTTTTGATTTTGCAAATAAAAAATTTTGCTGCCTAAATGAAAAAAAGTGTTTGTCACCTTGTGGAAGTATTTGTTTTGTGATTATATCCTAAAGCGAGGGGCTGCAGGGACTATTTTCAACCCCTTAAAATAGAAAGGTTCTGACTCCACTTTTTGGCATTATATCAGTTTTAGGTTTCTCATGTCTTGAATATTTGTTCTGTGAAACGTTTGTATCAGTTGTCACTGTAACTTGGCAGTTCACTGAGCACTTTCTCTGAAGATTCCAAATCAACTTTTGAAATTTCATTCAGTTATAAGAAGTACTAAATGGAATGATTTTATTTTCAGTGTAAGTGTAAAATATAGATTACACATTGTTTGTTGGTCTCATTTCCTCCTGTACCAACAAACGTTTTTTCATTCTTTTAGCTTTTTCTTTGTTCACTGTAACCATGATAATGTTGCTAAGTTATCTTTGGCTCTTACTAGCAGAATTTTTTATAGCGTGCTACATCGTGGTCTCATTTTATTTAATGAAAACAATCACAACAACATCAATAGTTTTGTCATATTGATACTCTTTGTAATACTCATGATGGTTTGGTTGGGCAGAATGGGTCACTGATAGATTATCGAGCTTCTTTTCTTTTCCACTATTTCTTCCTGTCTGTCTCTTACTCTTTTCCTCACTAAATGGCTATTACTGTGCTTCTCTTTACTTAAGGGGAGGAGCGACCCTTGATTTTTACTGATTTTGGGTCAGGCTATGCACCTTGAGATCTTGGCTGATTTGTGAAAATCAACCAGTTCTTTGTCTAAAAATAGCATGGAGACAATTGAGAAAGTCTTTATTCTCCTTGTAAATTGCCTTTGAAAACATGAGAGTGGGTTAATATAGTGAATTTTCACAATATTTCTCGTTTTTCACAAAATGTTTTTTTTTTTGCAGTTTTTTCCCTACTCTTCCCTTTGTTTTCATCCTTTTGACATGAAACTTTCAGGAAACACACCATCAATGTAACAGAGATATAGTAGTATGGCTCTTTTCGTCTATGCAGACGGTCAATTTAGCTTAAGATGGTCTCAAGGTTGTCTTCATGCAGCTTCTTTCATGGCTAATTTTTCCTATGTTTGAAGCGCAGATTCTGTCGCAGTGCTTGCATGTCAGTGTCGTAGATCGAAGCTCTTTTTTTCCGCTGTTTCCTTTCGTCGTTGGCGCTTCTCAACCTGGTTGTTTCTATGGCTGTTCTCTAGCATTTTAGTTCTTTCCTTTATAATTTTCCTCCATGTTTTCCGGTCCTCAGCTATTTCTTCCCTGATGTTAAAATCTACTCCAAGCTTAGATAAGCTGTTTTTGCAGGTGTCTTTGTACCTCAATTTTGGTATTCCTCTTTGTCTCTTTCCCTGGGCAAGTTCTCCATAGAGAAGTTGCTTCAGAATCCGGTTGTCATCCATTCTCTTGACATGGCCAAACCATCTCAATCTTTTTAAACACAGGCTAGTTGTCATGCTCTGGAGGTTTGCCTGTGTCAACATTTCAACATTTGTAACCTTGTCAGGCCACGAAATGCCTAAGATCTTGCGGCAGCATCTGAGATGGAAAATGTCGAGGCACTTTTCTTGTCGGCTGTACAAGGTCCATGTTTCAGATCCATAAAGGAGTGCTGAGGACACATGCTTCGTAAATCTTGATCTTTGTTTTGATGGGTAATCTTTTGTTTTCCCATGCTCATTTTGTCAGGCTTCCAAAAGTTGTTGCTGCTTTCCCTATCCTGATGTTGATATATATATATATTTGCAAAATAAAATAACACTTTTCCATTGGCAAGCGATTACGCAAACTAAATTTAGAAAAGGTTTTTCATATTTTGGGAAAATTCTCACTTTTTTTTTCTTTTGCACTTATTGAAAAAAACTCGCTGTTACGCTTGTAGGGTCTGGTTCAGGTATACTCTCACCAAATTTGGTCAGTAAATAAGAAAGCCTTAGGGATTTCAAATTCATTATTTATTTTCAAGATGGCGGCCGTTTTCATAGCAACATCTGTAGCTGTGCTAAAATAAAATTGAGTTTGAAAGATTTTTTACTATGCCTAACTTATATGTGTACTTAGATTTGACCTCGGGCAACAAACATAGAAAATAGTCCACTAGGGTCGCTCCTGTTAAATTCAAATGAACGACAGTAGTCATTTGGAGATGTTTTCATTATTCCATAGCCCAATGTTCCATTCTTCTTTTGTAAATCATTCCCTAATTTTTTTCTCCCCAGTCTTTCTTTCGATCTCTACATAAATTGTCCTGCCTTGATCTCAGGAACAACAGTTTTCATATATTTCCAGGTAATTCTATTTTCCAATGTCTCCCACAACTTTGTTTACAAATTTTATTTTCTCTTTTCATATTTAAAGGGTATTTTCTGGATTGTGCCAGCTCAGTGTGTTGTAAATGAGACTGGTTGAAGGTGGTGATGGGAGAGACTAGGTGCTGGATTTATTTTTTAAATTAAATATGGAAATTAAGACAAAAGAATAAAATATAAAAAGATAACAATATGAGGAATAAATGTACCCAGAATGGGTCTAGGTATTAACAAAAACCAAAAACTGATTTGCTTTGTTAGGGAGAAAATAAGCATCACAGGTGAATTGTGGATTGACTGAGACATTAGTGATTATTTGTGGCTTGGACCAGAAAAAGTTAAGGAATTGACTGACAGAAATAATTATTCTGGCTGTTAGTTTAAAGAGAATGCATCTAACTCTTCAAGATGGAATGTGTTGCAGCAGTTACCAAGCTAAGATTTGTGTGTGTGTTTTTTAAAGTCAGACATATATGTGTAATTTGAAGCTTAAGGGTATTTACCATGACCAGTTCTTGATTTGTATAAGATGAACGTAATCTTGTGCATCGTGAAATACAAAAGTCTTGTTCAGTTCTCAAGTAAAGTAATCCTGTTATTATTCCCATTTTCACTTCAGTTGACAAATGCTGAAATGAAAAGGAATAAGCTTGGTTTTGCTGTATTTTTAAAGTTTTACTAAGAACAGTAATTGCGATTGAAAGTAAATAAAAACAAGTCTCATTTCAGTAGCATACTTTAAGACTTGCTCATGTTCAATTTTCTCTTTATTGCTCTGATAATGTATTTATGATCTTTTACTGAACACAGTCACTGACATTTTTGTTGTCCCCAGAACCATTGCTTCATCTCACTCACTTACGCAAGCTCTACTTGGATCATAATCAGCTTCGAGAGTTACCTGATGATATTGACAGGCTCCTGTCCTTGGAATGTCTAAGTGTAGGGTGAGTTGGAGTGCACCTGTATGTTATGAGCAGTTGTCTCCCAATGTTATATGCTCATATTCCTCTCTGTGACATGTACATGTCCCTATTTGCTATGTGTACAGGCTCCTCTATGTTATACGAGGAGCATACCAAAAGTTTTTTTTACCTGACCGTGAAGGAATAAATGTAGAAAGCTGAAATTTGGGGTGAAAGCCAACAATTATCTTTCTAGAAAGCAAGTAAATTTGGGGGAATTTCCGATCACTGGTTCTAACACTAGCACACTGTAAGTAAATGATGGTATGTTGTTCTCCAGTTTCAACATAAAAATGGAGAAAATTGAGCACAGGGCAGTTATAAAGTGTTTGTTTTTGCGAGGTAAACAACTACATGAAATTACATTTTTTGAAGAACTTGTAACCACGGATGAGATATGGGTCCACCACAATGATCCTAAGTCAAAATCTGCATCAATGCAGTGGAAATTGCCCTCGTCCCCAACACCAAAGAAGGCAAATGTGCAGCCATCAAGTGGAAAAGTGATGCTATCAGTTTTTTGGGGCCAAAGAAGGAGTGATTATGACAGACTATCTGGAAAATGGACATACGATCACCGCAGACCATTCTTCTAACCAGCTACAAAAATTACGAGAGGCTATAGAGGAAAAACGGAGAGGAAAGATCCAAAAACGTATTTTGCTGCTTCCCGAAAACGCGCCAGCACATACTTCAAGAAAAGCTGCAGAAACTGTGAGACAGTAGCTATGAAATTTTGCCACAACCACCCTGTTCTCCAGATTTAGCCCCGTCCGACTTTTAAAAAATTCCCCAAACTGAAAAGGAATTTAAAAGGAAGGCAATTTGAAAGTGATAATGAGGTCAAAGAAGCGGTAGAGGGCTGGTTTTCAGACAAAGAGAGGGTTTTCTATTCTCAAGGTCTTTTCAAGGTCATACACCGATGGCAAAAATGTATAACTGTGGGAGGCGGCTACATAGAGAAAGATTAAGGTTAGTACCAAATTTTAGCTTTCTACCTTTATTCCTTTATGGTCAGGTAAAAAACATTTGATATTCCCCTCGTATGTGCATATGTTTCTCTGCATATGTTCCCATATGTTACGTGTTCATCTTCCTCTCTGTTATATGTCCTTGCTTATCACTTCTCTTTTTCCTTAGCCCCATGGGACCCACATTAAGATTAATGCTCTTCTACTGTTTCTTTTGAAAAGTTCTACCAAGACCCCACTTTTCTTCCATATCTGTATTAGTTTTCCTCATATTTCTGAAGTACATATAAATGATACTTTGATAATTTAAAATATATCCAGTGGTTTTTGACACTTTAAGATTATTATTGTCTGTACAAAGCTTACATGCCTGTATGATGGCAGTGTTAATTCTGTTGTATATTTTATTTTTTGATCCACAGGAACAACAATTTGTCCTTCATTCCTTCAGCTGTCTTCAACATTCGCAGATTAAAAGTATGTCGAAATTGCTAAATTTACTGAGATTTAAAGAATTAAAAATTAAAAAACGTTTAATTCTTTGTGAAAATAAGCACATTAAGTAGTGCATATAGCAAGATTTTGTACTTTTGTTCTTTCCCTCTTTTGTTCCTGTCTATCTGTCTGTCTGTCTGTCTTGCTTTTCCCTTAGGCCCCTATGTTAAATGACCTTAATATGTCAGTCTACTTCTCTTCATTCAAACCAATGAACAGAACAAGTATTCTCTAATGGGCAACCCGTTACACTGTAGTCAAGAATAGAATGGTTGTCAGTGCTCATTTTTAGATTGACAGTTATTTTATCCAGTATTTAAGGCCATTGGCCTGCACACATAAAGCGTACACATTGTACAGAAGACACTTCTGTAAAACAGCATAAATAGTATATGACACACATATCGGTAGTATTTGAAGAAAAATATTTTGTTCTGTTAAACAGTTTCTATAATAAAATGGAATAGGTTTTATGTAGCACTTGAGGTGAAACAAAAATCTGTTGAATGCTCGCTGTCCTCCTCAGAGTTTGAGTTTCCGTGGCAACAAAAAAGTGTCATTACTGCCGAGTGCGGTAGAGAACTTGATTTGTCTTCAGACTCTAGACCTGAGCCACTGCGACATCTCCTTCCTTCCCCCATGTCTCAGTGCCTGTGCCATGCTGAGGAAGCTGCTCTTGTCTCATAACAGGCAAGTACTTTAACCCTTTCTTATCTCCACATTTTCCGCACACAATGGCCACCAATTCAATTTGTTCAACCTCCTGTGCATGCACTTAGTGACCTCCTGCTGCTCACATTCTTTAGCGCGGGTTGGAAGTGAAAGTAAGTTGTAACTGCTGATGCTGGTCCTGACACACTTTCTTTGTGAGAAAAGAAAATTTGGTAACGGCTTGGTTTCTTTTCCTGTGTTCTTTTTTTGGCTATGGCTTGATATCTGTGATTTATTTTTTATCATAACCAGGCTTACCCTTGAGGAAATTTAGTGGGAGAGACAAGCAATGCGTTTGGCTATTACTGATTGGCCATTTCGAAATGAGCTGGAAAGGGTTAATGAGGAGCTAGCATTATGAAGATGCTATTGTGTGGTTGGCTGCTTTGTTTTCTGAATAGAGCTGCTGTAGGCCTTGTCTCATGACAGGCAAGTTCTTTGATGAGATGTTGGTGGTTGGTTAACTAAATAGAGTAAAATGTTGTTGGAAAGTGGCCAGGATCTGTTTGTCCTACGTTGTCTGGTCTTCTTTTAATTTTCTCTATCACCAAGCATCTTTCCAGTTCTATGTAACAATGAGGAAGTTTTTCTTATGTGTGTCGTTGGTACCATCTTTTCTTTATAGTGCCTCTGTTGGCCTGATCTTTTGCTTGGTAAAATTTGGCAATTATATGGCCAACTCAATGTAAATTAGAGTTCAACAACTTTGATAAGGTAAAATCAGATAAGTTGAGACAACTTAAATGAGATTATATGTGATGAGATACTGATTAAAGAAAAAAAAAAAGAGAAGTAAAAGGAGATATGATGTGATTAGATGATTCATAATTAGATGTTTATTCATTAATTGTTCGCCAGCTGTTCAGACGTACCAAGCCCAAATTTTGATTTTTTTTTCATTGCAGTTTCTTTATGTGTGGTATCAGTTGCATATGCTCTAAGATATTTTACTGAAATTCAAATTCGAAATGTTGGAAAAAAACAATAAAAAGAATTTGGGTACAATATTTAAGAGAATGAAATGTTTTTTGTTCTCTCCCGGAAAATGTTTCTTTTTGGGTTTAGAACATTTGAACAACTTGTGGACGTAATGCTCTTTTGTTTTTTCATCCACATTCCTAAGACATCTTTCTTTTTTCTCTGACGCAGAATTTCCCAATTGCCCAGTGAAATCTCCCAGTGCTTCAGATTGGAGCGCCTATGTGTGGATCACAATTGTCTGTCACATCTGCCTGCTGGGCTACTCTATCGCCAGGCGAACCTGACGCTTTCAGGTGAAGGATGCTAGATTTGACACATGCTGTGAATTATGAGACCGAGGCTGTCTTGTCAATTTTTTCTGTTAGATTTCCTTGTTGTCAGCCTGTACGATTGCTTAAAACAATAAAGTGGTCAATAGATTTATATCATGATTTTTATTAATTCAGCGTGACACTAGGTTCACAGGCTTAAAATAAAACCCAATTCACAGTTCTGAATTAATTGGTATTGTTTTTAAGATTCCATCAGCTTACTTTCTTTGTGTTGCATGTGATTACAAGATGCCTCTTGAAGGTCGGATTTCCTTTTTATTCCTCTTTCACCTCAGGCTGCTCTTTAGTGTTTTTCTCAGCTTTTCGTACTTTTCAACTCACGAGGAAGTGTCTAAATGTTGATTGATCTTATTGTGTTCCAAGTGCCGTAAAACTTTTAAAACGAAAAGATGATAATAACGTGCACCATACCTGTTCTTGTTTCCCAGCCTGTAACAACAAGTTTGTCGCTCGCCCCGACTCTCAGCTCATGTGTGTGGTGTTGGACGAGCTGCCCTCCAGTCGCAGGTGCCCAGTGGCCAGTCTGAAAAGCTTGACCCGGTCACTCATCGTGAGGTGCCGGGTCCCCACAGAGCAGTTACCAGTGCCACTGCAAGGTAGGGGATGGGTGACCACTTGTTTTTGTTTTGTTGAAGGTTGGTTTTAAATTGTCTTGGAAAGCGAGCAAGCTGTTTGGAAATACACCACAGGATACAAGCCCAAATTATTGCTTGATTGAGACAGTACAGCAAAGTAAAGTATTGTTTTTGAGGTAAATGTCGTACTAGATACAGAGTAGATTATTTTGAAGATGGTATCTTTGCTCCTACCAAGGCTCCAAACTAAAAAGAAATCTTGTCTCAAAGAAGAAATGTTAAATTATTTTTCACATGGGCTTTTGCCTTAAAGTTTATTTACTGTGTAACAAGAAAATTTGACATTTATGTTATGATGTCACAGTTTCTCTTTTGAATATACAAAACTTGATTGTTGTGCTCAGGTGTTCTGCTTGTTGCCACAACAGACAGTGGTGTGTTCGCTGTGAGAAATATGGAATGTCGATATACAGATAATGGGCCTGCAGTATGGAGGAAAAATGTTGACCTTATTGTACTCATTTGCATAGTGGTCTCCAGTAGCTGAGGGGTTACTGAGTTCAGGCTCACAATAAATGTCGAGCGTAGGTCAGTGACTACAGTTTTAGGTAGGTGTTCAGTGGGGTGTGTTCTTGAGTAAGATATGAAAACCCGAGCTCACAATGGCGATTAGTAATGGTGTGTTCTTAGTCTGTTTGTTTGTTTCAGTATGTATATATTTATCTATGTATCTATCTGTTTGTGTTTTTATGTACTGTATTTATGTTTGAATGGTGTATTGGTTACGTCATTATGAACCCAGTTTCCAATGCAGATAAATGAAAGTGTGATTTTATTATTACAGTCCAAATTGTCTAAGACGGCTGACTATTGTCAAGGAGAAAAGGGGCCATCTCACACAATGCCATTATAATTTTTTTTAAAAAGCAAAGGAGGGAGGGGAGGACCGTGATTTTCTTATACCGGTGGCCGTTGGAGCACGTTCGACTGTATTACTATTCTTATTTCCTCAGAGGAGCTCTCCTTTACCTCGTGCTGCTGGTCGTGTGGCAAGTGTGAAGAACCGCGCAGCACTCGATTCATCAAGTTCTCCTCGTTTGGTCACTCGAGCCACACCCTGCCTTTCCTCTACACCTTCTGCAACTACCACCTGCTGGGGGGGAGAGTGAAGGCGGCCACAGCTGGAGGCGCAGGGGAGGAGAGCACGGCCAGTCTCTGTGACTTCTATTCTTTGTGTGTTCTGTGAAGCTTTTTGTGAGCTAAGAGTGAGTGAGGGACTTGAAGAGTGTTGTTAGGATGGGTAGTGTGTGTATTGTAAGGTCGTGGGTTCATTGAGTGAGCTGTGTTGTGGCGTTGGTGGCCTAGTGGTTAGGCTCTTGGACTCTTAAAGTCATGGGTTTGAATCCTGTCACAGGTCAAACGTTGTGTCCTTGAGAAAAGCACTTTACACAAATTTGCCTCAGGTGGCAATAGGTACCCAGCTAAAGACAGTGAAAGATCTTGTCAGTTTGTTAGAGTTTGAGTGCGGGAAATCCGTCGCTTTCACTGCATGCTTCCCGCCGAGAATGTTTCTGAGTCTTCTAGGGTCTGATGGGGTAATAATAGTTGTAAAGCACATAAAGTACATGCTGTTTAGGGTGGATATATGCTATATAAATGCAATTATTATTAGCTTGTAGTCAAATTTGCTGAAATAAATTCTCCTTCTACAGTTTTATATTATGATGATATCATATACCTGTTGATGAAATGTCATTTCCATTTTGCTTGAATGGTAATGGAATGGTTTGGCGCTTTGCCTGATGAACGAAAGAGATGGAGATATTATTTCAAGTACCTTTGTAATTTCTGTTAGCATGTAGCGTCCAACTCAGCACAGGTTCGATTTGACTGCAGTTTTGACGCAGCCCACCTCCTAAATGATCTAATTTGTGTAATTGGTGGCATAAAACATTTACAATCAATCAATCAATCAATCAATAAACCAATCAATCAAACGATTTCCTTTTTTGCCACTGCTAGCCAACTAGCTCTACTTAACAAATATGCAATGTTTTGACGGCCAGTTTTTGTTCTCCTTGTGTTTTGGTTACCTCTTCTATTTGTTTTTCTACCTCCTTTGTTGAAAGATTACATACCGCCGTTGTTTTACTCCTCTTTTAATCTCTTCACTGCTGTGTATACGTATGTGCTAGGTTGTGTTCTAAGATACTATTACTGCCTTTCTTTTACCTCCCTACAGAGAAACTTTTAAAAGATGTGATTAGAATTATACTCATTCTGAAATAAGGGGAACGATATTATGGCTCTGTTATCTTTTGAATGAATGTTTGATCCATCGTTTCTGTTCAAACGTAGGTGGAAATGTCTCAACAGGACAAAGGGGTTAGGCTGCTAGCGTATTTCAATTCAATGCTTCTCATCTTTTTGAGTGCTGCGATGGCTGTTTTTAGAAGTTGTGGGTGGCCACCTTGTCAAGTGACAAGTGATCTTATAACCCCACAATTGTTCATTTGTTCTTTAAGGAAGTAATGAAAAACATAGGTTTACCCATTTTATGTAGCAGTGTCTGGTGTGTTATGATGAGGCTCTTAGTCATTGCAAGCCGATTCCCATATAGGGCAATTATGAAGTATCGTCTGACTGATGAAGTGTTATGTCCCACTCAGACCAGATTTGCTCTGGTGGGTAGGGTGGAAGTAGCACGCTTTAATGATTTGAATTGTGAAGATGATTGGGGGGGGGGGGGGGGGGGGCTGTGTGTGTTAAAACATTACATTCAAGTCAAGTGTAATGGTTTAAAAAAAGATGTGGCTTCTGTCTATGTCTTGTAGAGGGCACTACTTGATCTGAAAAGCTCACTAGTTTGTAGTGGAGGGTAGGGTAGTAAGTGACTAGTAGTATGGATGCTTCTTCTGGTTATTCTGGTTAATGTTGGAAAGTTGTTGTAGGAAAGCAATAGACACTGGATGAGCTGACGCTGTGACTGAGGGCTGACATAAGTTACCTCATTGATTCATTATCTCTTAGTGTGGGAAAGATTATTTCACCTTTGAATGCACAATTTTGTCATCCAATTGTTCAGCACCATAAACTTCCCCATAACTCACCCTTATTTAACCTTTTTGCCTAAAGTAAACACCAAACTGAGTACAAAATGAGTGATCCATGGAATAATAAGTATTCAATTTAATTTTACATAAAATGTATTTACTGAGGCTTCTTAGATGTTTGTTTTGATTTTTAACGACAAAGTGATGTCAGGCACCAACTGAACTGGCTCATTTTGTACGAAGAGTTAAGTGTTATATAATCATTTAAGTTTGGTCGGGGAGCATTGTCATCAGGTAATGCCTGTCCTTACGACCATACTTTATTCTAACAGTATTTGTGGTATTGGTAGAGCGTCAACATGGAGCTGTATATGGTGCCTGGTGCATGGGGCTCATGCTTGAGCTACCTTGCAAGGGGGACACAGGTGAAGTCATCCTCTTGACAACAAGAAGGAACACAAACCAAGCTACTCTTATATTCCCTGTAACAAAAGTAAAATATCTGATTAAGAACATTTTTGTACGCGGAGCTGGAGCTCATTTTCGGGTAATGTGTTTGGAGGTATAAGTGCACGTTGACTTTTCTGTCTTCTGCTTGACCAGCCTATATCTTCACACAGCCACACCCACACAAACAGTCAAATCACATCAGTTTGTCTGACTGATATCAAGTACATTTGTTACCACTTTTTTTCTTCTGGTCATTTATTTATTCGTGTTGCTTATTATTGATTTATTTGAGCAAAATTGCTTTAACAGTTTGAACATTTGTCTCGAAGAGTGTGTTTTTCCTTCAAGTAAAGTCAATAGTTTACTTTTGTTTCATTTTTTTTTATTGCCTTCTCAAGGAGACTTCAAGGGTCAGTTTTAAAAAAAGTGTATTTACTGCAAACAGTTGATGTTAGTGTTGGCTAAGTGTCTTTTACTTCTGCTTTATCCTATTAACTGTCTGGCATTTAGGTGTAACATTTTCTTACATGTAAAATCATGTGCCTTGATTGCCAGTGACTCCAGGTGGTTAAGGGTACCGGATGTTTTCTGATGACTAGTCAGTGACTAATCCATGCTGGAAATGTAGCCTTCTGCAGTCTCTTTTCTGAGATGGTTAAAGTTTCTGAGAGTGCTCCCAACTTACTCATGATATGGATATTTGTTTTCTTAATATAACTTTTTCTGAATGAGTGACAACAGATACTCTCATCAGTTATTCTAATGTTTGCAGTATTGTGCATTTGTTTGAACCATATTTTATGAATATAAAATTTTAAAGTATTTACATGATGCTCACATAATTTGTCTTCATGTTCATTCCATGTTGAAAATTATTTTGATTTTTTAAAAGTCATATTGAAGGTAATGGTATTGAATTAAAAAAAATTATTGTCAAGAATTTGTTTGATTTTGTATGTGAAAAGGTTCTTTTCTTCCTATGGCCAGTCGGAGAAAATCATTTTTGAATGGATTGTACTTTGATTTTATCACATTTAATTAAAAGTCTTCGAGGCACTTGGGCCTGACTGTCTTGGTATGTATACTTACAAGGGATTTGTAGATTATGTATGTGCCGACAAAGGAGAAACTATTGTAGAATAAGTGAACAATTTTGTTTAAAATGCAAAATGGCATACTTTACCAAGGTATACTTGCAGTTTGAGTACATTGAATGATAATAAGTGTATTCTAGTAGTGGTGTATGGTTGTGAAGCGAAGGAATGGAAAACTATCAAACAAAATAAAAATCCTGTCTTTTGAGATGTGGCTAAATAGGTGACTACTGAGAGTCTTGTAAGCTGATTAAAGCTAAAGCAGTCAAAGTATTGAGTCAGTGAAATTTGAAATGTGTTGGTCATGCTCTGAGTCTGAGAAATTAAAGAGTAGCAGCACAGACGAAAACAGTTCCGGAGGGGAAAGTAGAGGGCCAAAGCGGAAGGCAAAGGAAAGTCAAGCAGACTATCCACATTACAAAGTAAATAGATAATGACATGAACTTATCCGAAATGATGGTCTTCAGATTGTGAGAAGACTTGTACTGATGTCTTCTGTGGCATCAACTAATGGTGGACAGGAAGAGCTGATGGCCATTTTCAAGCATAATTGTTGAGATTGTTAACTTTTTCAGCTTAGGTGATGATTGGTGAACATTTTTCTCACTGTCTGTTGTATTTCTGATTCAGCATTCATGTGTAAATAGAAAATAGCCCCAAGTGTCCGCCATCTTGCCCTTGTTTTGTCCCAGTTGAACTGATAGCTGCTTAACACTAAAGCGTTTTGCTCATCTGGTAAAATCTGATTCTTTTTGGAAGACTCATAAAGTGCAACAGTGTATGATGTCACTTTACATTAAATTGTTACTGAATGTGGCCATGAAATCTCCTTCTTCTGTTTAGTCCTGGCTGAACAGAAAGTGGGTCTATTTGAAATACTTTTTTGTTCATATAAGCTTTGCCTCTATTTTGGCAAGTTGTAGATTAATGTAAATTATTTGTGAAACAACTGTCTGTGGACATGATACCTTATAGTTCAAAACAAAACTACAAAGCTTTTGTCACATGAAAAATACTATTGTCTTCTGACAGGTCCTAGTGTTTTGTGGAGAATGTTTTTTAAAACGTTGATTGGAGACTTCAGTCTTTTTTGTCATGAGCATTAATCAGATAGATATTATATTAGATTACTTTATTTTTAAAAATTGCTCTGCACCTTGTTGACACAACTTTAACATATGTTAGTACATGTATTTTGTATAGTCGTCATTGCAAACCTGAAGACATAATTTTCAGTTTATGCAGTTTATGGGATGAGAATGACATTTTAGTCCTAATGCATTAATTTTCTTTTATGTTTGTTTAAAAAAAATTAATTTTCTTTTGAACTTCTTTGAATTATGACCATTATTTTTGGAGGCACTGATATATACAACAAGGAAATTAAATCCTCATTCTTGCCTTTCTCTGTATGATTATCTTTATTTTTCTCTCATGTTGACAGATTCTCAGATAGGAGATGCTTTCTAATGTAAGCCAATTCAATAGATGATTTGTAGACAGAGCCTGTGTCCTATTTTTTCACTGTCCCTCAGTTTTTCCTATCAGTCTGTCTTGTTTTTTTCAAGTAGTAGGTGACTTTTATTTGCTGATGTGTCTGTTTTTAACTCAAAGAATCAAATAATGAATTGTATAATCATTTTTTTAAAGACATTAACAATGTTGAGGTTGTGTTACTCATGATATGTACAGGTGCTCTCGCCTGCTGCTAAACTTTCTCAGTGAATGTATAGCATTAAATTACTTAGTTCTGGAGTCAGGTAACCTTCTCTGTCCATTGTATGCCATTT